CAAATGTGCCAGAAAAAATCAAGGCAAAATCAAAAGCAAACAAACACATAATTTCTTTTCTGAACAACAACTAGAGCATTTGATTTCTTCTCCTGACAGCTCTTCCTCTCTCTCTCCTTGCCTGTCAAACCTGTCAATAATATTAAGGAGGGCACACAAGGGCAACACACACACACAGAAGAACAAAGAACAAAAAGCAAAGGAAAATTCAGGAAAACACTAGGTGCTGACAGCAAATAGACTCGCTCACTAAAACACAAACCCACACAAAAGGAATGACAGTCAATTAAAAAACACAAAACACAGACAAAATCAACATAACACCTACAAATCTTCGAGCAAAAATCAAATCAGTTCTGCTGCTAAAACAAAAAGAGCGCCAAATAATAACCATAATCAAACAACAGCACAAGAATAAACAAGAGACAACAAAGAAAGAAAGCGGCTGGTCGCCAGAAAGGAGCAATCACACGTACGGGGAAAAGGGGACACACAGGGCGCAGATACAGTTCGCCTAGTTCAACTTGGGTACACATTGCCTTCCCATTGGCAGCAGCAATCCTGTTTACCCTAAGCTCATTATATCCACCCGTCTATTAGCAGAAACAGCGGGAGAAAAAATGGACAAAATAAAATCACCCTCTCTTTNCGGGGGGGGGGGAAATGGACAAAATAAAATCACCCTCTCTTCCCTGTAGCATAAAAAAGGAGGACGCTCCTTCTCCTTCTTCCAATCATCATCAGTTATCCGCTTATTACCGGCAAATCTCATTTCATTAGTCGGCAAACAAAAGCAGCGGCAGACGGGCAGACAGGCAGGCAGCAAAAAAAATAGCAAGCCCAACCAGCGAACCAGTTCGCTCAGGTTCAAGTTCAGCAGCAGCAGCAGCATTAGCAGCTGATCAGAGTTGAGCCTTTTTTAGTGGTAGTTGCTGCATTGCTCATTGTCGTCAGGTGTCTGCCCTCACTCCCTCGCTCTCCGATCGCTCATTTCTCTCTCTCTCTCTCTCTCTCTCTCTCTCTCTCTTTCTCTCTCTTCGATGTCGTGCTCAGTGTTCATTGAGGCGGCAAACAGAGCCAGAGAAAGTTCAGCTACATTAGCCCTTTGCCTGCTCACTAGTACTCTTTCCCTGACTGCTTTCGGGCGTCATTATTAGCTTAGCTTAGTCGGATAGCTCGACTAGCCTCAATCAGGCGGGCGAGCACAAGGGCGAGGAAAAAAGAGGAGAAGAAAACGAAAAGGAAAAAACTAGCTGCCGCAAAACTGCCGATATTCACCCGCCAGTAATTTTCTTTCTCCTTCTGTAGTCAAATTAGGTGGTAGTGCCAGAGTTAAGCTCTACTGCTCACGACCGCTGTGTCTTTCTGCAGAACATCAAAACAACATCAGCAGCAAAAAGTACCGAGAAAATAAACACTAAACACAGGAGGAGCTGCTCCTAGATAATTAGCAGGTTGTGTGAGTGTGTGAGTTTGCTTCGCTGCAGTGCATTAGACGAGCGCACTTTAAACTCAGTGCGAAAAAGCTTGCCCAGACTGGGTCTTGTGACCAGAACGGCAAAAGCAGCAGACTACTGTACACAACTAAATGCACCTAAACAATTTCAACCGCCCCCTCAGTTGTAAATTACCAGCCTCTCTCTTTCTCGCTCTCAGGACAATCTCATTTTTAAATATTAATAAACACCACCACCACAAAATAGTAGCAAATTGTGGTGGTGGTGGTGGTGGTGGCGTCCTCCACAGCGCAGAGACAGTTTTGGCCTAAATTGCGAGCGCACAAACAAAACACAGAAAGAGAAAGAGAGAGAATGCGAGAATAGGAGAAGGAGAAGAATATCAGACGCAGGCACACACACACACACACAAACACATTTAATTAAGTGAAACAAAAAACCACGCAAAGAAAAAGAATAGCGTGAGCAGCTACTGTGCCGAAGCTGTCGTTTGTTGTTGTCGTCGATGTTTTGCCTTCTCCTCCTCCTTCGTGTACACTGGGCGCTGTGTAGTGTTAAAACAAACATGTGCCTTATTAATTATTAACCATTTTCCTGCCTGCCAAAAACTTTGCCACAGAGGCAAAGGAACAGGGCAGTGCAGAACAGCGCTCTGTCCTAATACTATTCGGAGCTAAGCTTTCGTTGCTGCTGCTGCTGCTGCTGCTGAAAGACATTCACAATTGAAAGAGAGTAACGAATGATCTCTCTTGCTCATTTGAATTAAAACAGTCCACAGTCAAGGAAACAAGGAGAGTGCAGCAGCAACAGCAGCAGCAGCAAAACGACTAAATTCGCCTCGGCCTCTCAATCAAAAAGTGGTTAGCGGGCAACACTTCTTGATTATTGGCATTAAACAGAAGCAGCAGCAGCAGCAGCAGCAGCAGTGGGCAAACAAAAATCTGCCCCCAATAATNAACTTTGCCACAGAGGCAAAGGAACAGGGCAGTGCAGAACAGCGCTCTGTTTTGTCCTAATACTATTCGGAGCTAAGCTTTCGTTGCTGCTGCTGCTGAAAGACATTCACAATTGAAGGAGAGTAACGAATGATCTTNGATCTCTCTTGCTCATTTGAATTAAAACAGTCCACAGTCAAGGAAACAAGGAGAGTGCAGCAGCAACAGCAGCAGCAGCAAAACGACTAAATTCGCCTCGGCCTCTCAATCAAAAAGTGGTTAGCGGGCAACACTTCTTGATTATTGGCATTAAACAGAAGCAGCAGCAGCAGCAGCAGCAGCAGTGGGCAAACAAAAATCTGCCCCCAATAATTAATGACCATTTCACAGCTTTGGGGTTGCTGCTGCTGCTGCTGCTGCTGTGCGAGAGCTGGCCTCAAACACACTCAATTAAGCAGTTCCGACTGTTCCGCTGCTTTTGCTGCTGAAATCATCATCACCACCACCACCACCACCATCATCAATTCAGCTGCTGACAATTCATGCGAACGAAGAAGAAGAAGTAGAAAAGGAAGAAGAAAAGATGAAAGAAAAAGGAAAATTCAGAGCCATCTTTGCCTGCCAAATGTGTGTGTGAACGAACGTGGGCCATCTCCCCTCCTTGTCCTCCTCTTCAGCACTTGCTCCCAACGGTACATGTAATTAATCAACACAAGAACACTGAAGAAGAAGAAGAAGAAGAATACTACTACTGCTGCTGCTGCTGCTGCTGCAAAGACAAATAAAACAGAAGAGATGGAAAGGGAAATTCAACAGTAGTGGCGGTGGCAATTCAAACGCACTCAGTAAAAATTCCTCGCCATCTTCCTCCTCCTCTTCATTTGGTGTGAATAATCTTCATCACCAAACCTTTGCAGACTAACCTGAAGACAGCAGAATATTCTGCTGCTCTTAAAAGCTGTGATAAAAGTGCGCGCATAAAAAACTAAAAGGCCATTCAGCTGGACTGAAAGACTCGAGCTGCGAATTGCCCACTGTCTCTCACTGTCTGTTTGACTGTCTCTTTCTCTTTTTCCCTCTCAGAGAATGTTCAAACAGCAGCAGCTGCAGCAAATAATCAATCATCGGACGAAAAATTCAGACAATGGCCAGCTCGGGGAGAGAATGAGAGAAAGAGGGATGGAGTGGGAGAAATAAAGCAGGAATTCCTCCCACTCCATCCTTCTTTCTTTCGACGACGACAAAAGAGCAATTTTCCACTCAGTCTTCTCCTCTCTTCTTCCTCCTCTCATCACAGTCAGACAAACAAACTGCGAGAAGAGAACTGAGGGAAGAGAGAAGAACTGTGTGAATTTAGAAAAAGAGCAAGAAAATGAGATTATTAAAAGCAGACCGAGCAAAACAAACTTTTAGCTCCTCTCGAAATAGAAAGAGAAGTCCGGTCAAGTGGATCCAGACGAAAGAATTTCGCCTCTGTCTTTCCTGAATATTCGCCCAACAGCTTCAAGCTGAGTGCAGCACTGAAAAATTGCCAGTGTATTCACACAGATAGAAAAGAAGAAGCACTACAAAATAAATATGAAGTGAAGAGAAGAGCCAAAGTGTGAGCAAAACCAAAAAAATTACACATAAAATTGAAAAATCCCAGGAAATCGTCAACCGTTTTGCAGAGCCAAAGCGATTGAAGCAGCAGCAGCAGCAGCAGCAAAGACGACAGTCAGTCCATTAATCATACTTCGCTCGGCTGCTGCTGCTGCTGTTGCTGTTTGCCTTCCATCCTCTCGTTCAGACGATAGACAGAAAGGAGAGAGGAAAAAATAAAGAAAGAAAATAAAAGCAAGGCAGATCACTGAAACTGATCATTTATTTAAATTTGCTGCTGCTGAGGCTGAGCTCCTTTAAAGATGGCAAAGTGGTGATAGTCTGCCTGAACTGAACTGAACTGAACTGTACAGTCTGGCGCAGTAGCAGCAGTCTGATCGGAATCAAAGCGGAATCAAATTTGCCGCCGACTAATCGATGAAGCTGAAGCCGGGGCTGAAGGCTGCTAAGGAAAAAGATGCACCAGCAGCAGCAGCTTCACCACAAACAAAAAAAACCACAAATTGCGGCAGCAAAAAAAGAGAAAGAGTGAGGCAGCCACAAATTCGCGCAAATTCAGTGGTGACAATTTTAAAGCAGCAGCGGCGTAACCGTTTTCCCGAAAAAACGCGCTCTTTCTCTCACTTTCTCTCTAATGGGATTAAATTACTGCTGAATTATATAATGCAGAGGAAGGAGAAGGAGAAGAAGAAGAAGAAGTGGCTTTCAAGCATGCCTAATGCGAGTGCACCGAGAGAAGGGAAGGAGAGCGACCAGAAAAAAGACAGTACAAAGTATAAAGTATACAGAATAAAAAAAGTACAGCCCGCAACTCTCCAGACAGTAGTAGTATGTGATTCATTTTGATGATCACAGTTCGAGAGGAGCAGCAGAAAAACTGCACCAAGATAATGAATGGGCTCAGCGCAAATAAGCAAGTAAACTAAACTAAAAATAAGAAAAAGAAAAGAAAACCGTTGTCACCTACCTTTTATTTCCTTTATTGATGATCCAGCAAAAACACAAATTAGCTCACATCCTCCCCACCCTCTTCGCCCCGCTTCAGGCCCCTAAGCTTCGAGCTCTTGCAGATTCCGAGCTTGGGCCGGCCGCTGTTGAGGCCCTGCAGGAGGACGCAGGCCTTGCAGACGCGCTGGCTGCTGATGAAGGCGCACCGCTCGCAGACGCCTTTGGTGGGAAGGCGCCCCGGCCGGGCCACCTGCAGGCACTCGCCCGAGTGGATGATGTCGAGGATGACCGAGGGCCTCACCTTCTCCAGCTCCTTCAGGTGGACGCGCACGTGGCCGCGGTAGGCGTTCGGCGAGTAGATGCACTCCGTGCTGAAGTAGAGGAGCGACTTGAAGCGGGCGTAGAGGACGATCTCCTTCTCGTAGGTGTACTTGAACGGTTTGCAGCGGGGAATGCCCCAGCTCAGGTCACCTCCCTCGCCCTCCTCCTCATTATCGTTGGTGATGATGTTCGTGGAGCGACCCAGGCGAGCAATGTCCCCGCGGAGAATGTTCATCAGAATCGTCTCGGCGATGTCGTCGGCGTTGTGGCCGGTGGCTATCACCGAGCACTTCATCAGCTGGGCGCCGCGTTCCAGGGCCTGGCGGCGAAAGACGCCGCAGAAGGTGCAGTTGTTGCGGACGCCGGTCGCTCGGACGATCTCGTCCATCGTCCAGCCGTAGAGGTCCTCGTAGGAGAGGATTTGGAGGGGCAGGGCGTAGTCGACGCCATTCTGTTTGACCGTCTCCAGCGAGTCGTCCCGGTAGCCGGTGATGCCCTCGTCGATGGACAGCAGCTGCAGGTGGAGGCCGTAGTCGTGGCGGTCGTTCAGCAGCTTGAGAATGTAGGCGAGCACGGTGGAGTCTTTGAAGTGAGTAATTTGTGAAGGAGAGAACTAGAATTAGAACTGGAAATAAGGCAGACATCGTGGCGAAACCTTTTCCGCCGCTGGCGCCGATGGCCACAGTGTCGCCGCGCTTGAACAGCCGCCCCTTAGTAATTGTCTCATGAATCTCCGTCTCAAAGCAGTAGAAGAAGCACTCTTTGCAGAGGCAGTCGGCCTGAAAGGTAAAAGACAAAAGGGTTAGAACTTATAACAGAAAAGACAAAAGCCAAAACGACCCACCGTCTTTGAGCGCTTCACATTGGCTCGAGCCACCTTACAGCGACTGCAGCTGGCGACCGGCATGATGAAAGCACCGGGTAGAGAAGTAGTAGTAGTTTCGTGTTCAGATAATAAGGGGTGGAAAGAATGCTTCAAAGGTCAAAGATCACCTCAAAAGTTCCTATTCAAAGAACAAAAATATTCACTTTTCTGTGCAAAACGTCAAATCAAAACAAAACAACGTGGATGCCAAAAGAAGCTTTCCACAGAAACTTTCCACCGGCTACCTCCGGAAACATTTCCCAAACTTTTCAAGTCTCATTTCTCAAAACAATTTTATTCTTTCCACTTTTATTCTTCTAATTCTAACAAACAGAAACTCTACCATACGTTGTACAATGGCAAAAAAGACTATAGAGCATCATCTTCTTCATCAGTAGTAGTAGCAATAATTCAGCAATAACCATCAGAGCTGTGTTATCAGAGCGTGAAACAAAAACAAAACAGTAGTAGTTGGTAGTTGGTTGGAAGATATAGGATTGGGATAGGATTGTTGGTGTGGATGAAGAGTGTGTGTGAATGAAAGTGATAAAACAAGAGAAAGAGGATAAGAAGAATTGTAATAAAATAAAGAGATGGAGGAAGAGGAAGAGGAATAAGAACTGACGACAGTGTGTCAAACGAAGGATGACAAACAAAGAAATTCTTGACTTGCAGGTGTAGTAAGAGCGAGGAGAAGAATGAGAAGAACATGGCAATCGAGGGTGCAATAAATGGTGGCGGTTATAAGGTGATGAAAGATGTGTTCTAAAACCTGTGTTGAATTAGTAGAGGAAGAGCCCTTATGCGAAACAGCAAAACAGTAGTGTTCAAGTAGTGGTGGTAGTAGTAGTAATCAACAAACAAAACAAGAAATTGCTAACTCATCTCTCCGTTCTTTTCTAGGTCCTTTCAACCTTCTTAGGTGAAGGTGAGACCGGCCTCCTTGTACGTGTTGTAGATCTTCTCAATGGAGTTGACGTAGGCGGCGGTGCGCAGGTCCAGGCCGAGGTTGTACTTGGCGGCCGTCTTCATGATTTGCTGTTTGGGGAAAAGAAAGGTAAGTAAATAGAACTGACAACATTAAAACTATGTAAAAGTACCCGAGCGGAGCGTTCCATGGTGTAGTCCAGTCCCGAGTGGACAATGTCCTTCTCCGAGGCGCCGCTAATCTTCTTCTGGAAGGACTCGCTGGGGATGATGGGAATGCGGCCACCGGAGCGACCAAAGCGACGCTCCAGCGACTCTTGCACCGATTCTGGGGTGAGGAAAGAAGAAGAAAAGTTGATAAGTTATCAACTCAAAAAATGCTTAGTTAATCCTTACCCAGAAGATGATAGTTGGACTCTCGCTCGTACTTGAAGAGCAGTCGGCCGTAGGAGACGTGGTTGAGGTTCTTCAGCCACTCAAAGTAGGAGACGGTGACACCGCCGGCGTTGATGTACAGGTCGGGGATGATGAGAATGTTCCGCTCCATGAGGATGCGGTCGGCGGCAGGAGTGGTCGGGCCGTTGGCCGCCTCGGCGATGATCTGAAGGGAAAAAACCCCGCCAAAATTAGTCACAGTATATAAAAGGCGGTCTAAATTAGCATCCCACAACAGAAGCAGTTTCCCCATCTCGATTAGATTCGCCCCAGCTACTACAAAAGGAAACTGTCAATCAAAAACTGTACCCTCACTAACAACAAATCGTCATCATCTTTGTACATTGGTTCTACTACCACCAAAAACTGGTTTTCTTCTCCTTATCAAAAGTTTGACACAACTAGTACATCATTACATCATCCCTGACATCATAAATCGATCGATCGACTAACTCTGTCTACTCGACAGTTTAGTTAACAAGTAGCAAAACTATTCATAGTAGTACAAAAACTTGACACCATCAGCTACTCAGCTAATTAGCCTGATGTGATGGTGTTGATAATAATAAAGCTTATCAACCTCTCTCTCCATTGTACAACGATCACCACATTAGCTGATAAGATTAAAGCCCACTTTGTGACTCACCTTGCAGTTGAGCTTGTGGGCATTCTCCTTGGTGATGACCTTCTCCATGGCGGCCGGCACGAAGATGTCGCACTTCTCAAACATCAGATTCTCCCCTTGGTAGGGCGAGGCGCCGGGGAAGCCCTGGATGGTGCCGTTATTGGTCTTGTACTCCTCCAGCTCCTTCGGGTCCATGCCCTCGGGGTTGAAGATGCTGCCGTCGTACTCGAGGATGCCGATGCACTTCGCCCCGGCCCGATGGAGGTAGCGCATCGTATGGAGGCCCACATTGCCGAAGCCCTGGATGATGACGCTCTTGCCCGCCCAGCCGGGCGTGCTGCCAATCATCGCCATGTAGCTCGCCTCATTGATGAAGTTGTCGATGCCGTGGAAGAGGCCCTGGTGGAAAAAGGTTAAATTTTTTATTAGCAAAAAACCTTTTAAAAATGCCCTAAAATCCGTACCCGACCAGTAGCCGACACTCGCCCATGAATTCCACCCTGGTTAATGGGCTTTCCGGTGATGCAGGCATGCGAGTTGAGGTCCTGGTGGCCGATGGTCTGCGCATAGGTGTCAGAGATCCAGCTCATCTCCCGCTCGCCGGTGCCCATGTCCGGTGCGGGCACGTCAATGCCCGGTCCCAGAAAGCCCTTCTTCGAGAGGTTGAGGGCAAAGTTTCGCGTAATCTTCTCCAGCTCGTTCTCGCTAAACTCCTTCGGGTTGATCTTCAGGCCCGCTTTGGCGCCGCCAAAGGGCACGTCGACGACGGCGCACTTGAAGGTCATCAGGGCGGAGAGGGCCTTCACCTCGTCGAGGCAGACGTCCATGCTGTAGCGGATACCTGGGGTGATAAAAAGGAGTTTAAAAAAGAAGTTCATCACCCCCAGAAAATCACCCCCTAAAGTTCAACTCCCCCTCAACTCACCTCCCTTGGTGGGCAGTCGGTGGTGACTGTGCTGCGCCCGCCACCCGTTGATCATCACAAAGTCGCCATTGTCGCGCTTCAGCGGAAAAGAGACCTCGAGGACGGCGTGGCAGGGGCCCAGCATGCCCAGGTACCCGCGGACCTTCTTCCGCTTCTCCTCCACACTCAGCCGGCCCTTCCACTCCTCCACCAGCTTGTCCTCGACGATGGCCCAGCCGCGGTGGTAGAAGTACTCCACCATGTGGAAGAAGCTGGGGTCGGCCGCCGTCTCCACGTAGGTCAGATTCTCGGGGATCTGGTGCGGCCCCTGCAGGTTCTCCTGCAGCGGGTCACTAGACGCTAGGCCTCGGGTAAGGATTGGGCTAGTAGTCAGGCGACTTCCGCTCAGGAGACGGCTCACCGAGGGCAGCTGAAAGAGCTGGGAACTTCGACGAAGCATGCTTTTTTTGGTAGCTTGGTGAATGAGTTTGATGATGAGAGGGGAAAAGATGACGTTGAGTTGCAAGTAAGGGTGATGACGAGGGTGACAGCAAATGAAGGTTCGAATTAACGGCCGTCAGCNATGCTTTTTTTGGTAGCTTGGTGAATGAGTTTGATGATGAGAGGGGAAAAAGATGACGTTGAGTTGCAAGTAAGGGTGATGACGAGGGTGATAGCAAATGAAGGTTCGAATTAACGGCCGTCAGCTGTGTTATAAGCGCGCTCTGTCTTCGAAAAGTTGATCTGTGGAAGAGAGAAGAAAATAGAAAATAGAAAATAAAAGTTGGTCATTCAGTGGAAACAAAAAGAAAGAAAGAAAGAAAAAAGGGAAACTGTTTGTCTCGGTGTGTCAAACTGTACAGTAAAGTGACCTTCAACTGTTGTACAACACAGCAAAACAAACAGCAGCAGCAGCAGCTACTGGCCAATAAAAAAGAGCAGAGCAGAGTTGTTGGCTCGCCCTAAACAAACACTGCAGTTGCAGTGTGATCAAAGTGCGATAGGGAGATAATTAGAACACACACAAAGCATTACACACATAGACGGAAAAAAGAGTGATTCCAAAAGCAGGCACCAGAAGAAGAAAAGTACCACCCTCACCTCAAGTAGTTCAGGCACAAACAGACAAACTTTTTTTTATATTTCACTACCCTCAATCTAAGCCGGCATGTGTTGATCACCATTTTTTTCTGGTGCTGTGCTGTCAGTCGGTTGATAAGAACAGTCGTTTTTGACTGACTGACTTCAGCAGACNTCAAGTAGTTCAGGCACAAACAGACAGACTTTTTTTTATATATTTCACTACCCTCAATCTAAGCCGGCATGTGTTGATCACTATTTTTTTCTGGTGCTGTGCTGTCAGTCGGTTGATAAGAGCAGCTTTTGACTGACTGACTTAAGCAGACAGCAGTCGTCTGATGTCATTACCATCAGTTCAGTCAGTCAAAGCTCCTCGATTCATCCGCTGCACTGCTTGATAAAGCAGAAAAAATGTACAATGTACAGTGGCCATTAGCAGTAGTAGAGTAGGGTATGGTATGGTATCATCGTTGATAACCGCCAGGCGCTGTACAACGCGAGAGGATCTTACGACCTTCTCCTTCTTCTTCTTCTTTTCCTTTCGACTGTCTGCTCAAAGGAACATGTGGTCGAGATAAAGAAACAAAAGTAGGATCACACCGGCACAATCAGAGCAGCACATTTTCCAAAGTGATCAAAGTAATTTAGGTGATTGAATGGAAGCTAGGCAGTGAAAAACTAAAGTTAGAAATTAAAAAGCTAACCAACTAAGCAACCGAGTGAAAAGCTATGCCAATCAATATACCGCTGTATTACACCGGCCGGCGAAAAAAAGCAATTACACAATTGATTTTGAAAGAAAGCTGAAAAGTCAAGTAATCACTAAAAAAGAAAGGACGCCCAAAGGTTACTTTCAGAGAATAAAATACTACCAAGTCTGCACGCAAAGGCCCGGTCTGTATTAGCCGACCCAGCCTTAACTTTTCACTGGTTCGATTGCCAGCATGCAACAAACAACAGCCGATCAGGCTAATAAGCAGGAATAACAACAGCAAAAAGAAAGAAGGGGCACATACGCGGAAGGGAATTCCTGGTCGAAGAGAAAGTGAAACAGATATCAGACAGCCAATG